ATTAGGCACGACGTCATCTATTTATCCTTAAGATTTCTTGTTTCAATTTAAAATGCCGATATTTCCGAAGAGATTTTCTGAAGATCCTTTGAGAATCCTGGACATATGTCCATTGAATGCACCATAGAATGAAATGAATGTTGCCTTTACTCATATTAATAATATCATAAATACAAGAGTACTTATGTTAAAAATCCTCGCAAGAATTTGTTTCTGTTCATTCACATCAATTTAAAATAATTCCATATATTATGACATAAATATCATCATCAATGAAATAGATTGCATGATCTACTAATAATACATGCATGATACCTGAGTTTTATACTGAAAATAGAAAAAAAATTTATCGTATCCCAAATGGATGGATGCTACATGCTGATGTATTCGTAACAGAGACATAGCAAAAAAAAATAATAAATTACAATCTGTTATTGTTTGCCTATAGTTATATATATAAAAGAAATACACTTATATATACGACTAAACGTACTAGCTAATATAAACTATGGATACATTAATTGATATAGTCAATATCAAAATAGCACTCACCTTTTTTTGTGTGCTCACATTACACTGTGCGTTATATATATATAACATATATATTAAGGCTATGTTCACACTACGACTTAAGCACCTTAATTTTTTCGCCTTAAGGATTCTGATTGATGTCTCACGAAGAAAAAGTTAAGACACCAATCAGAATCCTTAAGGCGAAAAAATTGAGCAACTTAAGTCGTAGTGTGAACATAGCCTAAGACTGTTGTCTGTGACGTTATAAACTTTTATTTTGAGAGAAGAAAGTGTGAAAACTTCAGTGGAAATAATGAAAAGAAGACTTTAAAACAAGAAGGTGAAATGTTGTTTTTAATGGGTACAGTATTTCGATTAGAATCAATTGAGCAATTAGTGAATAGAATCTGGCGTATTAGGTTGAAACTAACCGAAAAAGAATTGAACGAAACACAATTGTTAGTTGGTCATTATAAAAGTGAATTCGGTGAAAGCGTAACCATAATCACTTTGGGCATGCTTTGGACAGAAACTGGACGATATAAGCGAGCTTTAGGTTATTACGAGATGTTATTAAATGAGTATTCTTCATCTCATAATGTTAAAATTGCACTTTATAATAATACCGCACTCATATATGTACAACAGGGTCAGTTTTCAGTTGCAGAAAAGTATTATAAAATGGCATTAGAATTAACAGCTGATCGTTCTTTAACTTCATCACTTGAGTCCGATAGACAACCAGAAAAATCGGATATCATATTGATACAGCCTAAAAGAAAGATATCTTCTCCATCAATAACGTACTATAAATTATTTGAATGAGCAGTTGGAAATAAAGTTTTAAATATAAAGTATAATACTGCTATGAAAATCATAATAAAATTCTTCTGAATTTATTTAAACACTCGAGCTTTCGATCACAACTTAGATCATTTTCAAGAGTGAATGACAAAAGGAAAAGAAG